AACATGTACCCGATATAAGTATTAATAAAAAGCTCGGACCAAAGAGGTCACCTTAATACCGAAAAAAAAAAAAAAAATAAATAAAGATCTAACTTACTTCTTTCAAAAATTCAAGAGTACTTTCCTAGAACCTGATGAAGTTTTGAGTGTAACTGATGCTAGATAGTTTTTGTAATCTCACGTAAAAATAATTTTTGGTTTTCATATACCATTTGACCAGATTGTAGTATATACAGAGCCAAATTGTCCTTCACCAATTTTTCATTAACAGTTAATATATCAAATAGAAATTCCTCTATTATATTTTTATATCTAGTAGTTCCAAGTTGAAACTCTTATGTAATAATCATTATCTCTATTTTCACTTGCCCACTTTCGAATTATTATTTTTAATGTCTTAAATTCATCAATAACAGAACTTTCTACCTCAAAAATCCTTAATAAATAATTCTTGAAGAATACTTCTTATTTTTTTTTTATTTAAATACAAGAGTCTGTCACACTTTAAAGATCTCTACTAAATAGAAAGTACGTGCCAATTAGACCATGCGTATTTGAAGTTTTGGTTTTGAGCTTACTATGGTATGATTCAAGAGGGTTTGTAGATGTGACTTGAAGAAGAAGGGGTGAGTGCTGTCAGGCCCAAAGGACCCATTTATTAGTATTTTTTAAATAATTTCTAGTGATATATCTAATGACAGCAGGAACAGGACAGTTAGCTATAGCATCTCGAATAACATCTTCACATCCGGTCTGGGTTCTTTTGTGCATTGCTTAAGTCATTTTGTCAAGAGTTGGTCCATGGTATATATTTTTCATTCATGTACATATAACGTGAACTGTACAAAAAAGGATACTGCACTCTTGCTCTCCAGCTTGAGAACCCAGAAAGGTTGCCTCAATACCATTGGCTTCTACACTACTTTGGTCAAGAAGCATATATCGTGGGTTCCAGTGGGGGGCAAACTTTCGAATTATTTTTAATGCTAACATAACAACTTTACTATTTTCATTGCTAACAAAGAAATGTGCACTAATATTCCAACAACCACAGCCATCACAAACATATAATATAAACATTCTCCAATCATGCTTATTAGTATTATGTATTGAATCTATGAGAGTTAACCAACTATAATGCATTAGATTTTTTAATTTTTCTGAATTTGCAAAACAAAAACCAGAATAAGACTTCTGAACAAAAAATTGTTCCAATTTATAATTTTTTTTCGCTCAAAAATTTAACAGTCTTAATAACATCAGCTTTCACTCTTGATTCACCAATAAGATGTGAATTCATTGAACCCATAAGCTTAAATTTAACATTCGCAACTTCCTGTGTTTTAAGATACTCCACACCCGAATTTTCATATACTTTTTTGGCTTCATTTCGAACGACATTTGCAATTGCTGGGGGATGATAGTCCTTAACTGCTTCATTATGCACCAATTTTTTAATAAATTTTGAGTGCTTTCTTGCATCTACCTCATCAATTGTGTGACTATGATTCAGAGTGCTATTTATTCGTTCAACATGGACAATTTTTGTAGCAGCAATCCAAGTTATTTTTATCTTGGCATTGCATTCAATTAGAGGTTGCTTCCAAGTTATGTGAAGCTTTTCAGGAGAGATATCTTCCTTCCTTCCACTTGATGTTTTTGGTTTTAAGAGTCTACAAACGTAGATTTTCCATTCATCACCGTTTTTTTGCTTATATCCATTGAATCTTGTCCAAAAATTGTTAACAAAAGCCCATTGCTTCTCAAATTCTTCAGTGAGAAGCTCAAACGTGTCAGTTATATTAAAATAACATTCATATAAGTCTGACATTGCTAATAGGAAGAAATGTAAAGTATAATAGTGGAGATGGCACAAACAAATCTATATTAATGTACAGTTTTTTGAAAAAAAAGTGTATGTAGAAAAAAAAGGAAAAAAACCCTGTGTTTCAAAAACTCTTAAAACGCACCCAAGGTAAAGTATTATTGAAAGAAGAAATATAAAGTATAATAGTGGGGGTGCCACAAACAAATATACAGCATGATTACAGTTTTTTGAAAAAATATATATATGTAAAAAAAAAAACCCTCCACAAGGCAAAGTATTTATTATTGAAAAAAACTTCAGGCATAAAGTTAAAAGTTATAAAATGTTGAAGCTGAATATATATGTTATTGAAAAGTTGAAAGAAATATATGTATTGAAAAAAAGAAGTTCTAAGTTCATGATCTCAAAGTGCAACTATAATAACAATCTCTTCAAACACAAGACCTTTTGGCCCCAAGTAATATAAATCTTACTCTTCAATGCTAATACTAAACATAATTTTTTTCCTTAGTACAAAATTTAAATCGATTGTAAATATATAAATAGTGATGACATATTCTGTTATTTGAGCTTTTGATTGGCTATTATTAATTGTGGTCAAATGAGTTGCATGACCATGAACTGTCACTTTAATTAATCTGCCCCACTTTAAGGAATCCCGATTTGTCAGTTTGCATTCCTCTGTGTAACGCCATACTTACACAGATGCCCCATAATCTGCCAGTCATGCTGGTGCGATCAGCATTACAGGTATCCTAACCCAATCATTAGTAACAGTTGTCGTAATATGAATATTACATAGGTGATTATTCAACTTTTTGCTGTCAATGGGATTTGAACACCCAATCTACCACTTGGGGGGTTGACAACCTGACCACTTCACTAGGTCACCACACCACTTGATTGCATTTATTTATTATGATATTTATTATATGTATATATAATAAAGTTAGATATATATCAATATATATTTGTTATCGATACATATTGATAATAAATAAGCTTGATTTAAATCGATATATATTATTTATCGATATATATCAATAGTTAATAATTGATATTTATCATTTTATAGATAAGTATCAATATTTATTTATACATCATTATAATTCGATAATAAATAAATATCGATAAATAGCACATAAATCGATATATATCGATAATTTTCAATCGATAAATATCAATTAACTGCTATTTATCGATTCATAACCTATAAAAAAGTTTCCCAATAATATTTTTTCTAGACTAAACAAACTTTCTAAAGGTGTTATACCTTAATAGTTTACTACTTTTGAAATATTACTAAAAGTCATTCCTATCAATATTCATTATATAATATAATTATTTTAACCTATCTCAATTAAACTACTTTTCTTATACTACTAACTATTTTAACTTTAATACCAAAGATGTGGTGACTTAGTGAAGTGGATAAGTTGTCATACTCTCAAGTAGTAAGTTGTAAGTTCAAAATACACTGACAATGTAATTTGGATAATCACCTATGTAATATATAGATGGTATTACAGTAACAGCATTCTGTCAATCAGTTGGGATAGGATACCTATAACTATGGTCACACTAGCATGACTAGCAGGTCTGGGGCATCTGTATAACCTGTTATACAGAGGAATGCAAACCAGTACTAAACAGTACAAACCTAAAATAAGTCCTCAGATCATGTAAATCTGTAGAACTAGGAAGCTGAAGCCTACTTGGAAATTCTAAGCAGAGAAGTAATATGGATCTTCGATAATACTACTGTAAAGACTAGACCTAGGAAATGAATACCAATATAAAGGATTCAGGCAGGCAAGAACCTCAGGTGAAGGATACTACCAACCAGACTGCTGGATTTTGGATCAAAAGAAAAGAATATTGAGCCAGTCTCAATATACCAAGAACAGATTACAGTCCTTTTGAGCTATCTGAATTAGAAGTCTGGGTTCAAAGCAAGGGTATACTAAAAGTACTAGGAATATGCTGTGAAGTCAGTACTGAGATCTGGATGAACTCTGTAAAGGTAGTCTGTGTTAGTATTCTAAAAGTAGGTAGATAGTTAACAATAGGTGGCCTTCTGCACCTTACTGGCAGGTGATATACTCTGAAATGTATAACAGTCTGAAAACTAGTACAAAAAAGGTAGGTACCATACTACTTAGACAGTATACTGGTTAGGTATATTTGAAGGTTAGTTGGAAATTCCAATATGATATGACAGATAATCAAAGGGTTTAAATGAATAATCTCCTAGTAGGTTATAGGTATGGCATCTAGTATAGAACCTTAGAGTGAACTACTTAAATAGGCAACCAAAAGTTGTATACATAACTAGCTGTACTCTCATCTCTGTAAAAATAGTTGTAATAGCTAACCCAATATAAAGTCAATAAAGTATTACCACA